ACCTGGTTAGCTGACTGGTGTGCTGAGCGATATGTTGTTGAAGCAACTGTGCCGTGAAAAATCGTTTCTGGCATATTGGACATTGATGGTGGACGCTGGATGCAGCCGCAGCGGCAGCAATTCCGCCACGAAATGAATGCTTGGCTCGATGGACACCCATATGTGTTTTCAGATTACCCTTCGTCGTGAATGCTCGCTGACAGATTTTACACTTGAATGGCCGCTCTCCTGCAAAACGACAACGCAGTTGTATTGATGAGTGGATTTCAATAAAACTTATCTCAGCTTATCTCAGAATTTAGGCCAGTACGGATCATACATGATGAAGTCAGCCGAGTCCATTTACAAATTCAAACCAGTATGGAGTCAGGTAACTAGTCAGTGTCAGGCCATTCCAACTTAATCCTAGTGCTGAAGCCTGTTTTAGAGTTGCTCACATGGTTCAGTTTAATTTGATCTAGATCAGATTCCAGTTCCTTATTCAGGCCCCAACTCGATTCAGATCTTTTTATTTTCATCCGGCTCAATTTTTCCTTCGGTTTTTTTATAATTCAGCCTGGATCACCCGACTCCACAAAATTCAGTTCATCGGATATAAAGTGAACAGCAAAACTGCGCTCGATAATTTTAGCTGCTGAAATCCCATGCATTACCAAAAACGTGTAAAAAGCTCATATTCTTTTGTTACAGTGTGAGAAATGCATTAAATGCGTGTGTATGTATGTATGTGTGGTTTGCGACTATTCACTCCGTAAGCAATCTGTTTCGTATTACATGTCAGTTCCATACCAGCAGAATATTAGCCTGAGGTGCGAGTCCTTATTGAGTGCTGTCATTTCAGGAAACTTGCGCTGAGATATGAACTGAATTTAAAGTGACACTATTTGGCTCAAATTGTTTAATCACAGCTTAATATCACAGAACAAAAAACGAACCGGTATGTGTCCTGTAATGCATTTGCAGGGCGCTTTTGCACGACAGCACCCTACGGCACAGTAAGCACTGGTTCGGATCAGTTGTTGGCAGTGCCTTGTCGCCAACCAAAGCACGAATTTTCTCGGACTCGTCAGTGGTACTCACTTCCATCAATGCTTCCCAGTCATCGTCATTGTTCAGCAGAGATGCCGAGGAAGGTCCATTCAGGAGAAGCTCGGAACGTGGTGGCGGTGCATGTTGCGCAGCAGCTGCCGCTGCTGCCACAGCAAATTGACCAAAATTGAACGGTGGCCTGATCACTGCAAAGTTGAAAATAAATTCTCACGCGGCTGAAACAAAAAATGTTTCCTAAAGAAAGAGTGTTCTTGTACAATGTTCCGTTTTCTAAAGCCACTGCCTTAAAAAA